AGTAATTTATATTACATATATTTATATACACACACGCATAGATATATATAATATAAATTACTGTTTGCTTGTATTTGATTCTGTGCCATAAGCTAGTTTCTTTAAAAGTGTCTGCATTACTAATACATTCTAAACTTCATTTAAATTCAGCCCTAATGATGAGCTTTACTTGCAGTATCATTAATTTGAGTTTGAAAAACAACAACATTTAATCACAGTATTGCTTGAATTATTTACATATATTTATCTTAAAGTACAAAAAGACCTCTGGCTGCATTTGATTGTGAAACTTCCTTTTTGTAATACTTTTTTATCTATATGTAACCCAATGGACTTTTCTAAGTTAGAAAAAAATCGATAACTTACACTAAAAATTCAATCAGATATAAGCCTTATGACACAAGAACGCATGTGTGTATTGGGAATCGAATATAATTTTTTTTTTGTGGGGATTTTAAAATGAATCACCTATTTCCTGGATCAATCTCACAGGGCGTATTACAAATATAGTGAATATGTCACGGAATCGGTACAATATAACAAAATAAATCGTGTTACTGTAAGTCATGAAATTGTTTTCTTGTTTACATATAGGCACAGTTCATTTAAATACTTGACTATAGTATTATCTGATGTTTAATTTGGTGACAGATCGGTTTCTTACAACTGAACATGCGTGAGTTTATGCTATAACATTTCATTGAACCGAATGCAAACTAAGATTAAATTTTCAAGAAAAAATAAATAAATGACATAAAAGATTAACTATAACAGAGTAAAGAAGAAGAAAAAAAGTGAAAATACTTGCTTTTTATTGTTTGTTTTTGAATTTCGCGCAAAGCTACACGAGGACTATCTGCGCTAGCCGTCCCTAATTTAGCAGTGTAAGACTAGAGGGAAGGCAGCTAGTCATCACCACTCACCGCCAACTCTTGGGCTACTCTTTTACCAACGAATAGTGGGATTGACTGTCACATTATAACGCCCCCACGGCTGAAAGGGCGAGCATGTTTGGTGTGACGGGGATTCGTATCCGCGACCCTCAGATATGTAGCATGTCTTTGTATATATTTTGGTGGAATTAACAAGAACCAACAATTATTTTTTGTTATTCTTTATCTGGAACATAAGAAACTAAGAGAAAGCTGTCGGCTAATCCACAACTAAAGAAAAATTATAATAATTCATTTAACTTGACTTTTTGTATTTCCCACGTGTAACTTTTAAGATGCCTCTTCTGAGAAGACGGAAATTATTTTAAAAGTTTTTCAAATGTTTGTGTGTTACTTTACATTAATCAATTATTTCAGTATAAATAACAGAAGATCTTAATTAAGAGAGTACAAATGTGTTGTGGCTGGTCTAAAACTAAGATGATGTTTTAAATAATCGATAATGAATAATTGAAATGTTTTTTTGGGGGTCGCTACTAAAGATAACAGTTATAAACCGATGATGATGATCGCAACATTAATATGAGTTTTCAGATGATAGATAAACTTTTGACAACTTTCATGAGCGGCTTTTGTTAACCATTCTTAAATATAAATAATTCAAGAGATATGATCGGTGGTGGGAAGATTTTATGTTTGTTTTTATTTTACGCAAAGCTGCTCTAAAGTTATCTGCGCTAGCTGTCCCTAATTTTGAAGTGATAGACTAGAGGAAAGGTAATCAGTCAACGAGGAAATGTAGTCAGTCAACAACATCCATCGCCAACTTTTGGGTTACTCTTTACCGCTAAATAGTGGGATTGGGGATCGACCGTCACATTATAACGCTTCTCACGGCTAAAATAGGCGATCATTTTCGTTGATGGGTTTCAATCCCGGAACCCGCAGGTGGTGAGTCGAGTCCCCAAATCACCAGACCACGGTGAACATTATATATCATCATTCCTCATGTTTGTGAAGCTTAATTTTGCTGACCATGTTAAATCAGCCTAAGAAAACGTTTCCGAAACAATGAATAAAAATTGGTTTAAAAATGATTGAGGATTTTACTTGTCTTAGATTAGTAATTACAGGCTATATCCATATCAGATTATATAAAAGTAATGCTAAAAATAATATATTGTTGCATCAGCGAGGTCACGTGACTAGTATCACGCCACTCCTTCTCTCGAACCTTCGTGAATTATCGGGAAACT